TAACATATCTATATGTATCGTTTTCCATTTGAATCCCAAGCCTGAATAACAAAACCTAGGGTAGACCAGTTGGACTCTCTTTGGACTCGCAAAGAAGGGAAAGAACAATTAGAAAAGCGAMCAAGCGCGAGAAGAAGTGCGAGCACGGGCCGGGAGAAAAAGGGATCGGACTTTGAGTCTAAAACCAGGTTTTATTAGAGAAATCCTATAGTATCAGACTATTTAATGCCCGCAATATCTTTCTGTCAAGTATGTCTTCATTGTTCGACAAAAGCATGGAATACGCGATTTGCATTATGGTTCTATTCACTACAACTACTATACCAGAATGCTTTGCCCACTTTCTATTGTGATGTTATTATTCACTATTGTCTTGAAGTCTCCAATAGAATTATAAACCTCAATAATAACAAAGAAAGTACMCAAGGCTTTCTGGTAGTTGTTGTAAATTTACGCCATCTTGCAAATGGTCTATTGTTYTTCACGTAKCACWCTCCARGAAAACCRTTYKGGAYAAGTAGGCTAGCAGTACGTCTGTACGTAGTTTATCATGTACTTACGTACCAACGRCTTGRGTCAGTTGTATAGSGATCGTCCTTGACGGCCATATTTTWGCCCTTGATCGAATGGCATTCTTTTTGTTTGTAACACTGATCACATCAACGTTTGCGTTCTCTGATTGGACAGTCTGTGATGCATCCACGTGACTTTCAAGTTCTGGCGTCAGCTCGATGTCTCCCTCGAACACATGATTGTCCTTGATTTCTTTTGCAGTCATATGCTCTGAAGAAAAAAGGTTAAGTTGACTGTCATTTTTGACTATAGAAGTCCGACCTGCTGTGTAAACAAAGACGAGTTCAAGTACGGAGGTTTTTTTAACTTTTAAAAAAGTAATTTTGAAGAATCTCTACCTGTTTTCATTGGAATCATCTTGACTTTTAAAAACGGCATACTTTTTTAATATTCCAGGATCAATTTGCATTAGGTTGATGAGAAATAAACAAAAGACATAATGCTATAACATGTACTGCAGCCATTTTGGCTATTCATTTACCGCTACAGGTTTTAATCATTGAACTTACTATCAGCCACATGTACCCCAACGCAAAATAAGAAGTGGGTGGGATAATGTTAGTGACACCTGTCTGTCTGTTATATTTACCGCGGTTTGTCTTTTCTATCTTGTCCATAATTGTGTTGTTATTCAAGTTCTTCGGCAAAGTCGCATCAGTGCCATCGAATAGAGGGGCATGCCTGCAATAAACTGAACAACGGCAGAATGGTTGACGCAACAAGCTTTTCTAATGTGATACTCTTCGACCATCGTAAAAGTAAGAAAAATTGAGGATTGATAAAATTTTAGAGGTAGACTTTTTTTCTTTGGAGACAATTCGATGTGGTTCAGTCGACAAAGAAATCACACGATCATGATTACGCAAAGACCTCACCAAACACAAAAAAAAGTATGAGAAAACGTTGTAAGTATAAGTTAAAGCTCTAAAAATTTCCATTTTTCCCGAGTTGTGACTAACCCTGTATTTCTAGAAGGCTTAATCCTTAGGCTTTTTGGGAATACAGGGTTAGTCTGAACTCGGGGAAAATGCCAATTTTTAAGACTATTGTAATGGCGACATTTTATCGTGCTTTCTTTTATGTTTGATAAGGTCTTTGCGCAAAAGAATCTGTTATAAAACAGCGGGTGCTGCTTTGAATTCAAAAATGGAGTATTTAGACCCTGTTTACATGAGATAGGGTGCCCCTAGTGGAGGGGCCAAAATCCTTGTTTTAAATCCTCCAGGGAAAAGACAACAAATGAATTAGCCCTACCACTTAGTGGCACCCTATCTCATGTAAACAGGGTCTTACGTAGATGTCATTGCTTCCTGGTTATTTTGTTTGCTCTTTAGCTTTCACGGGTTTTTTAAGAATCACTTAAGAATCACTTTATAAAGTGCAAACATTAGAGTGCAATCACTAGAACCGTGTGACGCACTGACCAAAAAGGGCTAGAAAGTGCAATATAGTGTAAATTAGACAACAAATCCGCATACAACTCAGTAAATCTAACATTATTTAATTACTAAGTTTTTCCTGCCTTTAGTGTTTGATTGTACAATATGTTGTTATATTTCGCTGTAAAAAGACAAATATCCATTTACCAAAACTGAATTCATCATAGAAAAAATCCCATTTTTTCATAAAAACATGCTTACCATTTTGAAAGAAACTCCATGCCACAAGCACCATACAAATCGTCTTCATTATAATAGGGAATTAAAAATAAAAACGTTTGACATAAATCCTGACGCTTGTTTATATATTTATCAGCGGGATAGACACGCCAAAAAAGAGCGGAGAGGGGAGGGGGTGGTATTCACACTCTTTGGATTTTTAAAATCAGTCAGTCATATCTTGTATAAATAATATAGAAACCTTTTCGTAAAAACGTTTGGCCAACATTTTGCATGTGAAATTATATCTAAAGGATCATTATTTTTGTGATTTTAATAGTGATCAGCATTTATAAAGTGGCCTGACAATTGCCACCCTCCCTCCCTCGTGAAAGAATCTTTTTTAATGACCTTAAAGATAATTAATCATTCATAATGGCAGCCGGTAATATATACAACGGTTAATTAGCATGCGTTGAGTTGGTCAACTGTTACAATGGTACCTGCTTCAATGAAGACATGAAACTCTTCCTTCTCTTTGCAAATTTTAATGATCGAAAAGGATCATGGGAGCGAAAATCAAATTATATCATGTGACAGTACAGGAAACCCGTTGAATAAAATTAGTAAAGTAAATGATTAAAAAAAGGGAACAATTTTGTTTAAATTGTCACACATTTATTTAAAATTAGTAATTTTAGTTAACCCTTTCACCGCCATTGTCGACATTTGTCGACGTCGACGTATGCCTCTCTTTAAAAAATATTATTCTATTAATTGCATAGCAAATGAACTAATTATGTTTTGGTTGGGTTGTCCGTGAAATTATACAGCTGCTAATTCATAAAGTAAGCACCATAGGCTTTCTTTGTGGTGAATGTGGTCCCTTAATTGAGGGCGAAATCTGGCTGCACGCTTTTCGACGTTAGACAAGAACACTAGAAAAAGGCTAAATATATTCTCAATTTCACTGCAAAAAATCCCTCAATCATGCCAAAATACAACATTTGAAAGAAAGTTCAGCCCTTCTACTTTGCATTGATGTGTCTTTTGTAACCAGTTTCATTGAACAAGCCGAGAAAGAGCTCTTTCTTTAGGGTCCATTCCACGAGACAAGTGTTTCCTTGAACTTCGCTTGCAAAGAATTCTGGGTAACGCCGAATTTTTTGGACAGAAAGTACCCCACACCTTCCATTTTAAAATTTTCTTTAAGTGTCGAGTCATTCGCTCCTACCAGGTAAATTTCAAGTAGATTCCTCTTTTTAGAAGCCAAAACATGCAAAAATATACATGGTAGGTTGCGAAGTCAAGCACAAGACAGCCAGGGCTAGACGACTTCACTCAAATGGCGCTATTTTACACAAATCAACGGTTGCTCGCCATTTCTTCGTAAAATCGCTTCCCACTTCTGATTTCTTCCAGAAGATCGCTTCTGCCACAATAGTCAAGCTTTATGATGCAAGTCTAGGGGCTCTTGTGCGAGAACTTGACTTCAAAAACACCTAAAAAGCCACTAGAGGAAGCCATTGCCAAAGTACTTATTCCATCGATCACAGACCATGCGTGCGATGAAAACGATCGCAGCGTCCTAGCTCTGCCACCGCGTCATGGTGGTCTCGGTATCACCAACCCATGCACTAACGCCACACGTGAATACGCAGCATCGCTCAAAGTGACGGCTCCTCTTGTTGGAAGGATTGTTGCGCAATCACACGATCTTCCTGATGAAAGTGAACTAAAATCAGCCTTACACGAAGCTCGAGCCGACAAAGAACAGATAGCGAAGAGAGAATTACAAAGCGTAAAGGAGAGTCTCTCCAAGAGGAAGTCGAAAGCGTTGGATCTCGCCTCTGAAAAAGGAGCATCAACATGGCTAACCGTATTACCACTAAAGGAAATGGATTTCAACCAAGTTGAGTTCAGAGATGGTCTCCGATTGCGCTATAATTGGCCCTTTAATGACCTGCCATCAAAGTGTGTATGCAACCAAGATTACTCTGTTGACCATGCAATGATTTGCAGACGTGGCGGGTTCATTATACAACGTCACAACGAACTGCGTGATTTGGAGGCTGAGCTTTTAAGCTCAGTCTGCAATGATGTGGAGATTGAACCAGTCCTCCAAGACATATCCAACGAACAGTTAAGTAAAGGATCAAATAAAGCAGCAGATGCAAGACTCGARATACATGCCAGAGGGTTCTGGGAAAAGCAACGATCTGCCTTCTTTGATGTTAGGGTGTGTTGCCCAAACGCAGATACGTATGAACACTTAGAAATCCCCAAAATCTACAAAATGCACGAAGACGAAAAGAAACGAAAATATGCCGAACGAGTCAACGAAATTGAACACGGAACTTTTACTCCTCTCGTCTTTCTACTACAGGAGGTATGAGCAAGGAATGCACAAGATACCATAGCCGCCTCGCCGAATTAATTGCAAACAAGAAAAACGAGACATACGCGTCCACAATCTCATGGATCAGAGCAAAGATCAGCTTCTCAATATTAAGATCAGCACTAGTCTGTTTACGCGGTTCAAGAACGATCAAAAGAGTCAAAAGAGACATTCAAAACATTGACTTTGAATTACAAAATAACGAAGGATTGATCAATATGTAATTTTATATGTATATATATATTTTTATTATTCTTTTTTATTATTATTCAATTTCTATTTCATTTTATTGTAGTTCCTATAGTTTATGAGTCCTTTTTAATCAAATTTTACAAATCGATCACACAGAATGTTTTTTTATTAATTGTAAATACTATAGTATAGAAACGTTTTCTTTTCCAATTATTATATTGTAATATATTGTAGAGAGTTTCAATAAATTAAAAAAAAATTTTTAAATCATTCTGCCTTAAAAACAGTCAAATTTAACCACAATTTTTCGGCGGTAAAAGGGTTAAAGTGCGAAATCGAAAAACCTCGACCGCCCAAAATAAAAACACTGAGATGATCTCGCTTCTGATTGGTCAATGAACAATAAACATTAATCCCTAAATGTTTCGATGCGGTCACGACTTTTCGATTCGCACTGAAAACTAGTTCATGATCTGGTCATAATTTTAAATTGAAAAGTAGCATATTATACACGCTTTGTTGAATGATGTATATATTGATATTTTTAAGAAATTTTTTTAACGGTAAAACAATGACATTTTCAACGTCTTTGAATTTTAAAATCAGATTAAAAATGAAAATCCACTGTGATTTTAGAAAGAATTAAGACTCAGTTTCAATTTTTAGCGTAAGGTGTTCTGCTTGCGAGATGCATGTGAAAAAGACTGATGTCAGGGTGCTCTTTTGATTTATAGCTGAATTGACTTTATAGTGGGTGTAATRACGTGCAATATTCTAAATATACCCGTATGATATATGTCTCAATATCATTTAAATTATATTACAGAGAACATTTTTCACTTATTTGATTTATTCTTCGTTTTCACTATACGTCACATCGGCCATCTTGGAGGAACGTTAACAAAGGATTTCTCATTAGTAACTATTGTTCATTCCTCCAACATGGCCGCCGGTCTTTTAATTTGAATCTCATGGGAATGAGCAATAGCGATGTTTAGTTTAGCACTAAATCTCTCAACGAAATACCACCATCTTTAATGTCAGGATTATTGAACCACGGTTCGATACAAACAGCGCTGGAATCTTCTTCCCATTCCTCAACCAGTTTCACCAAAGCATCCACAGATTGGTCAGTGTATTGATGACACTTCATGATGCTCTCACGGTCATTGCACGATATTTCCAAAACTTTCACCTTGACACCAAAAACGGCAGCAATATCCTGATAAACTGAATATTGCCAGCAATGCGAATGGCAATCATCGATAGCAATAATCGACGCGTCGCTTGTTAGAGCTTCCAAGAACGCATTCCTGCAATATGCTTCAGCAATATTGATGTCAGCTTGATCTACTGTTGAGTTTCCAGCTCTGTAGAAAAGTTGCTTTGGGCTGCACACCACTAAACCTTGAAGATTCTTACTTTCAAGTGTGTTTTCCAGGAATTGTGTTTTTCCCGACCCTGGAATACCACGAAGAATAACAACAAGTCGATCTTGTTGCTGTTGTTGCACTTGGTTTTGGTCATGTTCTTGCTCAGTGATTAACATCTCCAATGCTTCGTCTTTTGAGGGTGAATTTGATTCTCTTGTTAGCAGCTCTCGAACTTTCTCTTTCAAGTCCAAWTCCATGTTTTCAGCGTTGTCTAAATATCTTGACACCTTATCTTTTAATGAAGGAAAAACAGCAAAAAAGGAGTTTTCAATATAGCAAACTTCAGCGTGAAATCCACCTGGGTCCTTTGGATCGAATCTGGAATACAAACCAACGCCTTGTACACCCTGATGGCCGAACACAGTTTCGGCATACACCATCTCAAGACTTGAGAAG